AAGAAATCGGTGGATAATAATGAGAGATATTTATAGCTAACTCCTCCAGCGATACAGACTAGAGTTTTATTTTTCTTAGGGAGTACTGGGGATTGACCTCAGGGCCTCATGTTTGCTAGCAAGATTCTGCCACTGAAGCCGTATCCCCAAGCAAATTTGCTTTTTCAGAGAGGATCTCAAGATTTTACCCAGGTCAGCATGGAATCACGATCCTCCCATCACTGCTTCCCTAGTAGCCGGGATTATAGACATGCACTGCCACGTCCAGCTTAATCTTGTGAAACAGGCTCTCGCTGGCTTCTTGCCAGGTCCAACTCCAAACACTAATCTTCCTACCTCTACTTCCCGAGCAGCTGGGATTACAGGCATGTACCACTGTGCCTGGCTGCTCAGACATGAGCGTGTATCTTTCAGAAGAAAGATACATGCATTTTAAGGACAGCAAGAGCAACTGTATATTTTATGTTAAAAATAGAAGAAGATTTACAGAAATTTAAGATACCTTCTGTTCTCAGGCAGACCAGAGCAGCTCTGAGTAATATAAGGGCATAGTGGATTCCCAGTAGGCAGCAGTAAGCCTTGTGGTTCTGGCTCAGATTCTGAGCACGGAGCCAGTTGAGCATCTGAGGTTTCTAACTTAAATTGTTCGAGATAAGTTATCAACTCCCAAAGGTTAACAAGTCAACACACAGAATGCAGACAACCCTCTACTTGGATTGTCCTCAAAGTGTTTTGTGTTATGTATCACCCTTAAAGTGTTTTATTTTGTTTCAGGCAGTACTAGGGTTTGAAATCAGGGACTTGGGCGTGCTAGGCAGGTACTCAACCAACTGAATCACAACCCCATCTCAAACTTTAAGTTTTAAAGCTAATGAGGAAACATTAACAAATATAAACAGGCACGGTCACAATACATTCCTTGCCAACTTTAAAATGAAGACAGTAATCTGGGCATGGTAGTGCATTCCTGTAATCCCAGCACTCAGAGGGTTGAGGGTCATGATCATGGTTGAGGGTCCCAAGCCAGCCTGGGTTATCATGAGACTCTATCTCAAAGAAACCAAAGAAGAAGAAGAGACCAAAAAAAAGCTCAAAAAAGAGAAGCCCTTGCTGATCTTTCCAAATTCTGTATCAGACCCTGGCCACAGAGCATTTGCTGGCACTACCTCATGTCATCCTTGCCACACCAACATGAACTAGGTACCACGAAGTACCTCCCTGCCTCAGATAAGGACACAGAAGGCCCAGAATGATCAAATAACTTGTCTAAGAATGTAGAGGTGGAAATGAGAGTGCGAGACCAAGAGCTGAGAATTCGCCCTCCTCAATGAACAGTGAAGGCCCCTGCCTTCTTTCCCATGGGGTGGGAGACACAAATATCAAGATCTCTACACTGCAGAGAGGCAACTTGTCAGAGAAAATTCCAACTCTCCCTTCCCACATGCTCTCTTCCTGGCCACCATGAGAAGTGAGATCCACAGGGAAAAGTGTTGACGGGCTCTGATGTATTCAACAAGACTGACTGTGTGCCAGCCACATGCTAGAAGCCCTGGGACCTGGGAAGCTGCACCCAATTAGACGGGCCTATTCCCATTTAGCACATGGTGACTTCCCAAGATTCCCCAGGTATGGCTCAGAGTCTCTGGTACCCTAGCCATGGCTGTGGTCACATGGTTTAACCGTTCCTCCAATATGAGACCAGCTCTCCTACCAGGCCACTCATGAGTACTGCAGGAAGCAATGACGGGAGACAACTGTCTACCAGGCAGACAGCTATCCACAGAGTCATGGCAGGTCGGTGGGCACTTCTGGGAGGCCTCTAGGTTCTAGCCTTTCATCCCAACACTGACCTTTGCTACAGGCAGGATCCGCACTGAGCTCCTTGCCAGGCTCACCTCATAGGCTCCAGAGAGAGGGCTGGCTTCTGCTTGTAACCCCAGCGTCCACAGGAGGCTGCTGCAGCCCAGGAAGATGGGTAATAGCTCTAGCGACTAAGTGGGAAAGTAGGGATCCAACTGCAAGCTGAGGGAAGTTGAAAGCAGTGTTAGCCACCACCATCCCAAGTCTAGCTCAGACCAGTACATGTCTGTAAGAGGGCCCTGAGATTCCTCAACACTTCACACAGGATGGGCAGGCTAAGAGGGAGAGGAAAACCCAAGGAAACAGAGTACCAATGGCTCACACCACAATCCTAGCTACTCAGAAGGCTGAAATCTAGGGACTGAAGTTCAAAGACAGCCCAGGCAGATAAACCTGAGAGACTCCACTCTCCAGTTAAACCCACACAAAGCCAAAGTGGAGGTATGGTTCACTGTAGAGCGTGAGCTGCGAACAAACATGCTAACAAAGCAAGGGCATGAGATCCTGAGTTCAAATCCCAGTATTTGACACCAAAATAAATAGATAGAGAGATAGCCCAACGTCAAGGAATTCTCATCTTACACCAGAAAATTTGGATGGGTGGCTTGCCACTCCAGGGTAAGCGTTCAGAAGACAGGAGGCACAGCCAATCACAGGATGTAGGGGATGGCCTGACGCATCTTTCAGGCCTCATGAGAACACAAGGCCAGGGTGAAGCCCTCTACAGTGTCTCACGCAGGCTGACGGAGGATGGGCCACGAGTCACAGACCCTCACAGCCACAGGAAAGGAAACTCATCTACATATGCAGAAGTGTGACTTGTGCATCTGCAGTTTGACTGGGACCCAGTTTACTCCTCAGATTGGCACTGGGACATTCAGCAAGAGTACTGCAGTTTTAAAACATCTCCTGAGATACATGTATCCTCGTTAAAGTCAAATGGGCATGGCATTCAAGCAGGACATATATCAAGGGAAAACACAGCATGATTTTTGTATGAGTAAACACAACTATAGCTTAGTAACCATTCACCTGTCCTTCCTTAGTTACTAGATCCCAGAACTTAAACTGAGTTATGCTCATGTTTTCAAATCAAAGGAAATATTTCTCAGCTTTATTTAAAGTTAGAGGTGGCTAGTAGGACATCATTACAAGTCATAAGTGAGGCTTCAGGAAAAGTTCATTCAATTAGTTTGCATTTGTTGGGAAGGCTTTTCTTTCTGCCTCTGTAACTTTCAGAATGTAGAGGCAATAGCTGGGAAGCCAGCAACCATATAATGTGATATTGAGGAAGAAATACTGTGCTTAAAGAAACATAGTAGAAAATTAGGAGACACAAACTGCTCTCCTCTGATGTCTTTTACGAGAGGATGCGCAAGTAACTTTTCAACACATACATACAGTAACATCTGTGTTACTAGAAAACAATTTTTAAATGATATAATGATATAGAAACAGAAACACCTCTGAAGATTACTCCACAATGTTCTGTGAGAAAAAAACAATCCCTATAAAATTCATGAATTGGGATTCTCATGACTCCTCTGTTCCGAAAGCTGTTTGTTTAAGTAGGTCTTTCCTCCTTAATTAGCACAGCTACTCCGGAGGAGCGCATTTGCCCAGCCTGTCTATATGTTTTGACATGCAAGACTTGTGAAATTCAAACACACTTGTAGACATTATTATTTATTAAGGCCTATATTAGAGCTGGAGGATCTTAAAACCCTCTTGGAATCTGATGATTAAAGGAAATTTAATCGTCCTCCATTGGCATGTACCCGGTGATCATCTCCGAGCACATCCCTTCTTCCAGATTTGATAGTAAAAAGGCATTTCAACAGCTATCCATCAACTGTTCAGACAGGACAAGTGCACAACAAACCACATTACTCCGGCTCCAGTAGCTCATCAAAGCCCAGAGTGCCTGAAAAGAAGCTGAAGGAGCCCTCTACTTGGTGAGCCAATGGGGCAGATGTTTTCTGCATGTTCACAGTGCCCCAGCCAGGGAGTAAAGCTGATACCTTCTCATTGTGTTCTCTCTCTGTCTCTCTCTGTCTCTGTCCCCCCCCCTCTTTCTTTCTTCGGATGGACTGGGACCCAGTGGGGTCCTCGTTCAAGTTCACAAGTATCACCTTTTCTGCTTTGATGCATCCCTATAGGCTTACTGCCTGTATTTTTTAATTTTTTTAAAATGGTGGTTCTGGGGCTTAAACTCAGGGCCCAGAGCTTGCTAAGCAGGCCTCGACCACTAGAGACAGTACTCCTGCACTTTTTCTCGTATGTGTTTGTGGGTCAGTCATGGAGGTTTAAGAGCCTGGGCTCTGTCCTTGAGCTCTTTTGTGTGCTAGCACTCTGTCATGGTGAGCCACAGCGCCTCTTCTGATTTTCTGGTGAGTAATTAGAGATAAGAGTCTTACAGACTTTCCTGCTCCAGCTGGCTTTGAACCACAATCCTCAGATCTCCAGAGGAGCGAGGATTACAGGAGTGAGCCACCAGTGCCAGGTTATTCCTGCACTTTTTGATTAAGTTTTTTTTGTTGTTGTTTATTGACACAAGGTCTGTTAATTTTGCCTGGATTTGGCTTCATCTCACAATCCTTCTACCTATGCTTTTCATGTAGTTGAGATTACAGGCATACACTATACCCAGTTTATTTACATGGGATCTGTTTAACTTTTTCCTAGTCCAGCCTCTAGTTGCAATCCTCCTGATCTCTGCCTCTCAAGCAGATAGGAATCCAGGTGCAAGCCACAGTGCTGGCCCTTCGCTGTTTCTGTAAACAAACTTTCACTGATCCTCAGGGACCCTCCCATTCATTGATGGAATGTCCCGCTGCACATGGGTGACTTCAGCATCACTGAGCAGCACCACAGAGATGGAGGGCTCATGATGGGGACAGGAAGTTCTATCTAACCCTTTACCAAGTTAGTCATCTCTAGCATTAGAGTCACATAGGATCCCAGGGGCGGGGCCTCGTCTTGAAGACCATAAAGCAGCTGTGGAGGGCTGGGGAGCTCGGGATGCAGCCTGAAAATGCAGTGGTCCAGATTTCCATCGTGTGTCTACAGTCACCACTGCACCTGCCCAGGTGGCTGCAGATGGCCGGCAGTGCACGGCACAGGGGGTATCTGTTACTTACCCTGAGCTTTGAACGTGTCTCACAGCCATAAAAAGCTTGGGGTCACTGGCAGGAGGCGTGCATAATGCCACAGGACTGCAACACACAGAGGGACACTGGAAGGCAAAAGAGAAGAGAGAGGGTGTTAGGGAAAGGAGGGATCTGCTCCAAAGGAACCCAGACCTGTGGCTTGGGTCTCCCACTCACACACTCAACACCCAAGCAATCTGTCCGTTCCCTCTGAGAACGAGCGTTCACACACTGGCTCTGAATCTGAGTTCTGTGTGACCAAATTAGAACCAAAGAGAGAAAAATGCTGTATGCCCATGTAACACAGCCAGTGCTGAGGCACTGGCTTGAAAAGTTCAGTCTTAGCTCCAATTAACCACAAAAAGGTCGGAAGTAGAGCTGTGGCTCCAATAGTAGACCACTAGCTTTGAGTAATAGAGCATAGGGTCAGTACCAAAGCCCCAAGTTCAAGCCCCAGTACTGGATTTTAAAAAAAAATCATTCCTTTTAATGTCTACAATTTCCTTTCTTAGGATTGGCACTAATAACTACAATGTTAACACATCCTCAGAAATAAGAAAGAGAAAATCCACATATTCAAACAGGGTATAAAGAGAGAAGAGATAAACTCCAGCTGGAGGTATGCCTGTAACTTCTAGCTAGCAGGACTCTGCAGTGGACAAATTGTGTGCAAACAATCACAACTTAAAAATCTCCATCTTGAGGGGCACTGGTGGCTCACACCTATAATCCTAGCTACTCAGGAGGCTGAGATCTGAGGAGTGTGGTTTGAAGCCAGCCCAGGCAGGAAAGTCTGTGAGACTCTTATCCAAAAAAGCCAGAAGAGGAGCTGTGGCTCAAGTGCTAGAGTGCTAGCCTTGTGCAAAAAAAAAAAAAACAAAAACTCAGGGACAGTGTCTGGGCACTGAGTTCAAGCCCCAGTAGCTGTGTACATGTACATACACACACACACACACACACACACACACACACACACACACACTCAAATACCCATCCTGGAATTGTTCAGAACAATTCCTTTGCTCCTTGAACTGTCCATCCTGGGCAGTACAGAGCAAGGAGGTTGGTTTGGAGAAGTCTCTTAAAGTATAAAACACCAGATTTCAAAGACACACCAGGAGAAACAGCACCTACATCATTAAACCTTTAAAATTGATGGTATAGCCAGGTGCCTGTGGCTCACACCTGTAATCCTAGCTACTCAGGAAGCTGAGATCTGAGGTGGGAATCAGAACAGGCAGGAAAGTCCATGAGACTCATCTCCAATAAACTCCAAAAAGAGCCAGAGTGAGCTGTGGCTTAAGTGGTAGAACACTTAGCCTTGCGCACAAAACCTCCGGGACAGAGCCCAGGCCCAGAGTTCAAACCTGGGAGCTGACAAAAATAAAATAAAAAATAAAATTGATTGGTGAGATTGTAATATTTTGGGGAGATGAGATTTAAAAAATGTTTCTTCTCCAACAGGGAAAACAATGAGACTTCAAAAGCAAATCATCGTTCTTACATGATATGCCCAGTTGCCATTATTTCCCCTCAACAAGGCAGCTTCAAAGCATGATAAGAATGTATCAACGATGTTTTGCAGATAATTCCAGTTGGCAGAGCCGAGTAATCGTTCCGAATAAATGAGTGAACTCACTAATGAGCAACTGCCACCAGGAGAAAGAGGACATTGTCACCGACTCATCAGAGTAATGAGATAACAAAGTTAATTATATCGTCTTCGGTGGGTGTACCCTGGCCTCCTTTCAGGGCCTCCATTTGCAAACATTTGTTCCGACACCCCCAGAGTTTGCCCTTCTTCACAAAACCGACCAGCTGTGCACAGAGCCAGGCAAACACAGCCGATCTCCGAGTGCCCAATAGGGCAGAGCAACTGGAAAACTTTTCGCCCCTTTATTATCTACTTGTAAAATGTTATAAGCCTGTAAAGTAGTTAATTTATGAGCCATGTGAATAATTTGCTCACACTTGATCGTGGGTTTTGTAAACACAGTTTGTAGGGAGGCGGGAGGATAATTTGTAGGTCTGGCTTTTCTTGCTAAGAGGACACTAACTAATTTGACACAGTACCATGACATTGATGGCTGGGCACACTAATGACCATACTCCAAGATGTGGCTGTCAGCCTGTCCCTCATTCCAGTAAGAAGTCGGCTTGCTTTCAGGGCCGCTCAGGACCTGTCACTCAAATAATTACTCAAACAATGACGTTAATGAGAGCTCTCATGTTTATTTTCAACAGACTAACCAGTGCTTAGCTTCCATTTGTCTGATCATGGTCACTGACTAATAGGTGTTTCATGAATAGTAAATCTGAACTCTCACCTAACAAAGAAACATCAGAGAAAAAAAATCAAGAAGAATGGATTAAGGAACAAGCTTAGTCAATTTATCTTGTTTTCTGCCCCCAAATACTATTAAGAACCAAGTGACAGGTAACTAGGCACACTACACAGGTCATGGAAAGAGAAAGAAATATTTCAAAACACGCATGCCCCCGGAACATGACATAGTCAGGAGCAACTTCTGACTCCAAGTTCAGTACATTTAGGATTCTAAGCATCAACTAATTTAGTGAGTTTTTTTCATGAAGTGGCCAAAAGGCTTAGGGTTTTAATGTAATTTTTCAACCTTACAAGAGTCTGATCTCTGATTACAAACTATCTCACATATAAATCTTTAGAAACATTAATAAACAGTTATGGGGTTTTCCCACCACCACTACCCGCCTCCCCCCCAAAAAGACTGCAAAAAGTATGTAGCAGAGGATTTTGTTTTCTATAAATCTCATGTCTAGTCTACTGAGCCTTGTAATCAAGTTCTTTCTATTTTAAATTAAATTTCTATTTTGGAATGATAAATTTTGTCCTTCATTTTAGGGTGATTATAATCCTAAAATATTCATATAATCATAATGTAAAATGATTTAGCTTTTTTTTTCAAAAGGTGGGCTTGGATCTATTAAAGGGATTGAAAAATTGAAATGGTCTTGATGTGGTTCAGTGCAGAACATGTAATTCAAATTAAATAATAGTGGTAGTATTTCAACAAAGGTTCTATCTGCCACCCTGAATGAAGGATTCTACTCAATGCGGCACATGACTCCTGATTTTATACAATGGCAAAAATAAATACATGTCCATACAGATCCCTTGGGGAATTAAAATGTCATTGCAAGCAATATTTCCTGAGTATGTGTTTCTAAACCTACTTGAGATAGATCTCTAAGTTCTGAATGCCAAAAGGCCTAAATGGTATATACTATGTGAGAAGCAGATTCATACTATAGGCTAATTTTTAAAATATAGTTGAACAAGTACTCAAATAAATTGTTCCAAATGAGAAGGACTGTTTGCACATGCTATTTCCCTGAGTGCTTACTACAGATAGATTCACAGATCACCATTTCTGGGCAGTTCGTTCATGGTAAGCATTTACCCTCCATAAAAATGAAACAAAAGGCCATCAGATCTATCTGTTTCTCCTTCCTGGACAGCAACCTGGAATGCTTTCCCAGCATCCTTTGCAGCTATGGGTCATGTGAACAAGTCCTCATAGATCCATGAGGTTTTCATTCCACTCTTAGGGGTCTCCTACACCATCCCTTGGGCACACTCTCTTCCTTCCACTGAAAGCCCACAGAGGTCCCACGGAGAATAACAAGCTCAGGTCCCCAAGAAGCCACAAGGAGCAGAGCCATGCCAGGTTGCTCTCATTGGCCAGGGCCAGACTCCGACCTGCGTTGGAAGTAAACCTGCTGGTGACAGCCGCCCCCTCTCTGTTCCACCTGGAGCCTCACACATGTCAGGCAAATGCTCCAGCACTGAGCAACAGCCCAGCCCTCACTGCACTTATGCAATTCTTTGTTCCTTTATAAAATTTGTCTTTTCTTTTTTTTTTTTTTTTTGGTGCTGAAGATAACCCTAAGACCTGTTACTTATATGCTGTATCCAAGCTCAGCATTTCTTATTCAAATACTATAGACCTGGCTAAATTTCTCCCTGGCTTCCACCCGAATCACTCAGCAACTTTAAGCAAGACAAATATTGTCAATTTGGAAAAAAAAAAAAACAAAACACCTTTGAAGATACTCAATTTTCTTTGTAATGGCTCCTCTCAACAAACTAAGCATAGAACAACAAGTAAGAACAGCTAAGTGTGTGTGTGTGTGTGTGTGTGTGTGTGTGTGTGTGTGCGTGCGTGCGTGCATGTGTGCATGCCTGCCTGCTTTCCTGCCTGCCTACCATTCTTGGTGTTTGGAGCTTGAACTCTGGGACTCATGCTCTTGTTTGGCTCTTTTCCTCATAGCTAGTGCTCTATCACTTGAACCACACCTCCAGATCTGGTTTTTTGGTGGTTAATTGGAGGTTAATGTCCCATAGACTTTTCTGCCTGGGCTGGTTTTGAACCATGATCCTTAGATTTCAGCCTCCTGAGCATTACAAGAGTAAGCCACCACCACCTAGCAAGACATTTAAAAAATGTGTCAGGCATGCCTGTCTTTCTCCTTCAGCTAACCATGAGGAACAGTAACTTCCCATTTTCTGGATGGGAATACTAAGCCTCTAAAGGGTGAAATAGAAATGACTGTCACGGATGCTGATCTGGTGACACTGTCTTTGCTGCACCTATATTGGCGGTCAGAGCCAGACTTCACCAAAAATGCCTAGTTCTAAGTCTAACATTGTAACTATTGGTGATCAAAGAAAAGAATACTGTGGCATCCCCAACCCATTACAACATGTAAACAACATATCTGAGAGAGCTTTAAGTTGTAACAATCAGTAGAACGTCATAAACTTTCCAGCCTTGTCAGTGTTGAAAAACCAGCAACAAAAACAACAGCAAAGACGAGTAACAAAGGGAGTACTTGATGATTAAAAAATAAATAAAAAGCTACAATTGGGAATAATAAACATGTGGAGACTAAATGATTGAGTAATGAAGGCCTTCAACCCATTTTCATCTTCACTGTAATATAAATAAGGCGTATTTTAAGAACAAGTTGGCGAGTCTTTTCTGTAAAGGCAAGTACAGTGAATATTCTAGGGTTTGCAGTCTTACACTTTCTAACACAATTGCTC